TTAGCCGCTCATGGCAGGTGTCGGAGGGCCCTGTCAATATGTCACCTACAGCTTCAGCACAGGCGACTCGTCATCAGAGTGAAGTCCTTGTAGTGGTTGGAAGAGAACTTGGATTTAAAAACCTACAGTCCTCCCACCTTCTTCCCTGCCGGTCCCCCCCCCCACACACACACACACATCCATAAACTTGAACTCATTTAGCAGTTAGCCTGGGGGGTGGGCGGAGCTAAGACACTAGAATATGATTATGCTGCTTTTTAAGTTTATCCCTGTCATTGTGGGATGCAAGTTAAAGGATTGTCATTGTTTTTCAGGGGATTTTTTTTTTTTTTTTTTTAAGTAAAGGCTCTATTTTTCCTTGGGAGTTCTGAATTGAGCCTTGGAGAAACACTACTGAGTGTATTTAAGCTCCTTGGTTTTCTCGCTGAAAAGCAGTCTCAAGGGTGGGATGGGGCTGTGTCTTCCTCAGGGGCAGCACCTCACTCCGTCTTGCCTACAATGGGTGCTCGGTAAACTCAGAAGTTGAATTGTTTCCACACTGTCGAGAGTGGCGTTGACTGTTGTAGCTCGTTGACTGTTGTAGCTCAGCCCATCCACCGATGCTTGAATTGTACAACTTCAGGGTTGAGGGCTCAGGGTTCAGGTTAAAGAGGCACTGTCAACTGACTACAAAAGTGTTATTTAGGATTTTCCATTTCGTACTTGAAAAGGGTCCGCTTAAAACATACATACACACCAAGCTATATATAAATTAAAAAGATTTGAATCCAAAGCAGAACACTGCTTCTAGAAACTTTTACCTAGCCTAAAAGAAGCAGATAGCAAGATCAAAGAGGCGCTTGTCGAAGGTGTTGACGCTTTTTGAAGGTGGTTGCATCTGTGCACGTTCGGGTGACTGCAGCTTGATTCCTCCCGTGTACAGGTGACATGGTTTCAGTTTGGGGGTCCTGCTAAAATGCAGTGGCTGTGTTGACCACACCTTGACTGTGCTTTACATAAAGCATTGTCTTGAAAGGCTTTATGAAAAAGTAAAATGTGTTTATTTTCCTGCAGACTTCCATCATGATTTTCAAGGATATAGCCTTAAAAAAACCCCAAACATTTGGACTCTAAAAAGACTCATTTGGTGTTTTTCTACTGGATCATCAGAAAAGTCATGACACATTTTTGCATAGAAAAATAAATATGTCATGACTTTCCCGATGACCTAATAGATCACCTCAGTCCATAGAGGAGACCCTTGCCCAGCTCCATTTTAGAGTTTAAATTTTATTACACTTTGATAGAAAGTTGGCGAAGAAAATCATTCCCACTTAATAGAACCTGCTGGGTTTGCTCAGGCACAGCCCTTGGTTAACTGAAGTTGGGGAGCTTCTGCGTTTACAGGCTGCAGTCTGGACAGTGGTGTAGAGTTCAGGCTCAAGCCAGTCTGGAAGACGTGTAGCTGAACCGTCTGGAGCCTCCTTTCCTTTCTGAGAAACAGGGATAGTAAGAGTAGCTGCCTCAGGGTTGTAAGGATTAAATGAGATGTTGTTTGTGAGATCCGTATCTCAAGTGCCTGGCATACAGGAAGCACTCCATAAATGTTTACTGCTATTATTACTAACATCTAGTCTGGGGATGTACAACAAGGCCCCTTGGCTTCTTCTTGGTTCTTTTGTTCTGTTTTGTTTTGAGACTAATGAAATTCATCAGAATTCTCTGTGAGGTGGAGTCACGGCCAATGTGTTTTCCGCAAATCGCAAGATGTTTCAGACGCCCAGGGCTGCCTGAACATTATCAATAGCCGGACCCTTGTCTGCATACATTAAGCAACTAGAAGAGAGGATGGTTAGTAGAGCCACAGCTAGAATCCGAGTCTCCTGGTGTTCTGGTTGTGGGGTCTTTCTGTCATACCTGCTGCCTTGTGAGATGCTGCAGAAATAGCGCTCAGATAGACAATCAGTCCACACCGTGCTGCACACTTTGGATAAAGCACACGCCCCCGCACACCGACCATGGGCCTGAACGTGGAGTAATGGCATGTCCAGCCAAGCAAGCTCTCTGTAGAACTCTTAATTTAAAAGCGGGGTCATTCTTTTGGACAGACCTCAGCAACATGGCAATCTGCACTTTGTAGTAAAGAATACCAACCTATTTTTTTTTTAAACTAGTCCTACATTCCTTTTTCTTTAAAAAACAAAAATTTATTGTTCAGTGTCATTTTAATGACTATGAAATAACATATATAAAAGCACTTTGAGGAAGCATCAAATGTGATCTAACTATAAGGTTGTATTACTAATGTCTGTTTAGAAGATAATACAGTTGGTTAGATGCTGATTGACCTAAAGCCTTTTACCTGTGGGGGCCTGAACATGCAGGTGTCTGAAGAATCACCTCTAATTGATCACATTGACAAATACAGAACTGCAAAGTGAGCACTTTGGTGTAGCAAGTGTTTCACTAAAGTTACACTTAAGAGCTGAGTGACTTCAAAAAACTAGGGACCAACTCTTTGGTTTAATTCTGCTCTGTAAAAAGTAGCAATGTGTACTCACTCCAGAAGACAGAAGCCCTTCCAGAAACCTTGACGTGAGGGGGAGGAAGCCCTCTTGCGCTTGCCTGTTTTTCCACTACACGTGCAGGAAGTTAGTGCCCTGAAGTGGAGGGAGCGGGCTCGTTACTCTTGAGGTTGACAGTGTCTTTTTCAACCTATGTCCTGTGTGGTTTAGAGGGTTGGGCAAGGAGGGCATGGGGGTGGAGAAGCCGGATAACCATAGAACCAGTGTACTTCGGGAACTAGTTTTCTAGGGTTTTCCTACCGGTTCAAAATGATATTTATCATCTACGTAATTTATTTCTAAGAAGAGTAGCTGAACTCAATCCACCTATGAGATTATAAAACTCTCCAGAGCCATTTGCATTGGTCACCTCTTCAAGTTCACAGCTACACTTCTGACCGCTCCCACTCCCCTCCGGTTTTGCTGCTGATGTCACTGTTGTTATTGAGCTAAGCCCCCGCGGGATTCGTATCATCGGGCTGACAGGATTGTCTGTGTTTTTGCTCTTGATCAACTCCAGCTGTCTATCTCTGTCTTTGCTTCTGTCAAGCCACAGTTCAGTTCGTCATCAAATGCCTGCGGTGGTTTGGGATATGTGGGAACAGGAGAGAACTAGGCAGCTCAAGGGCACCTCTGCTTTCTATGTGACAATTGAGCACATTGCTGCTAGCCAGAGAGGCGAGGCTGTGGGCTGGGCCCACGACGCTGCCACTCGTAATCCAGACGTCCAGATCGTTCGGATAGAGCTCCAGCTACTAGACTTCTAAAAACTGTAACACAGGCTTGCTCGGTGGTTTTGTTTGTTTGTGTGGCAAGCCAACAAGGGTGCCTGGAGTAATGGCTGAGCACAGCTACAGTCTGCCCGGACTCACTGCCATTCCACACGCTCCAAGACCGGGGTGGCCTGGCTGGGCCTCAGCTGCGGAAAGGCTGCACCTGCTCCAGAGTCTTCCCCCGGTAGTGGCTCTCAGCTCCAGTCTGCCTGGCGAGGCTGGCTTAGCTCCAGAAGGAGGCGCTGCCCCAGGATTGCTGATTTTCACGCCACGCCACTTACCTGAGGTGCATGTTCTGTATCCCAGTGTGTGCAAGACAACACTTTCTTCATTTCTCAGTGTCCTAGATCCAGGGGGACAGGCGGTTAGGCAAGTCCACCCCTCCACCCCACCCCGTGCAGCCAGAGTAAGAAGAGCTGTCCTTTTCCTGAGGTAGGCCATCTTGATTCTGAGCTGATTGGGGGAGTGATGGAGGTGACCCTAGAGGTGCCTTCAAAGATGGGCTTCAGGAGTCTTACAAAGTAGAAGGCTTGTCTGCTGGGTTGATTTTCATGGGGTTATTGAATGAGAACTGGTGGCAGTGACAGTGGCTCCAAGTTCCAGGCAGTGAGAACCCCCCTTGAGCTTTCCACAGGGTGCACCCCTGCCGGACTGCCGCGATCTCTGAACCTCCCCACTGCCGAGCACCTAAATATAGTGGGTGCCAGAAGGAGACTCAGCCAGAGTAACCGATGGCACGCTGGCAGTGGGCAGGTCTTCAAGCCTGCAGAGATACAGAGTTCGCGTAGTTGGAATGCACTTGGATTTGCTTCTGAGTTTTAATCATGTAATTAGGCACCATGAACTTGGAGAATGACGCTTGTGGTTAACAAAATTTTCACATATTTGGATACTTAATTTTCAACACTTGTAATACAAGAAAGTAAAGGTATCTCCAAAATTTTTTTCATTCCTTATTCAGAAGACACTGCAGGCCTGCAGTGCTTCAGTCATCAGTAGCAAATCCCAGGTGCTGTGCGACACAATTAGGGCACCCTCCCACGTGCTGTGAGTGGCGAGAATGCCCGGAGAGATGCTTCTGGTAGATGAGGTCCTAAACCAGCTTTCTCCATCTGACGGCCATGTTTCTCTGTGGCTTCTGGATTCCGTTGTAAGAGGAATTTTCAGAGATTGAGAAATCACCTTGATTAATCTGATTGTCCTTCAGGGAGATTGGTTTTAGAAACTAAAAGGACAAGGAGGACATAGTGCTTTAAAGCTTATGTTTGACACCCCCCCCCAGATCTGCAGGGAGGATGTGCATTTGTGTCCTTGAGTGCACACACTTTGTCGCCGTACACACCCTGTTACATCGCCCGTTAAGAACAGGGCTGGGGGCGGGTAGCGGCGCAGTGGTGAGTTGCTCTGAGTGACTGCCCCACAGCAGAGGGTCTGGGTTCATGACCAGAGGCCTCCCTCAGTGTTAGGGGCATGCACGTGCCCATGATCCAGGGCTGTCAAGGCTGGGGGTGGATCGTGGCATCAAGACCCTGTATCTCTCTGTGTCTGTCTTGCTCAGAGAAGTAATAAACCTTTTTAGAAAGCGAGGACCCATGCTGAAGAGCAGTTGCAGCCGCAGGGCTGATGTGTTGGCAGGAGCAGGCCGACCCTAACGAACACACAGAACCTGGCTCCTCGCAGGCCCTGCACTTGCCCTGTCTTGCAATCCAATTATGTAACGACTGTCAGTGAAGTAACTCCGATTTTCTGCCCGCTGGCAGATAAGTTTGAACATTTCATGGTGGTTGACAGAACTTTGTCCTAAAACACGCTGATTTAGATTCTTTAGAACTCGAAGGTTATACCAAAGGTCAAGCTGGGCAGGCGTGTGGTGCGCAGGGGCGAGGTCAGGAGTGGCGGGCACTGTGTGCACTGCCAAGGGGGCACAGGCCGCGTGGGAGTCAGCGGAACGCAGCAGTCCTGGGTGCACTACCAGTGTTGTCAGGTATTTGTTCTTAAATGTTACTGTAATATATTTTCAGTTTTGTTTTTCTAATTTAATTCTCACTCTGTTGTCTGACTGTGAACTGCTAACAGTGTTAAACCTGATGTAAATAAACGAGGCCCTGGAAAGGCCCTGCTCTCTGCCTGTCGTCTCACAAGGTTTGCCAAGTTGTGTTTCGTTTTAAATAAAGGTTGCAATATTTTATTGGCAAAGTAGGTGTGAGGTTGGAGTGTTTCTCCCATGACTTTGATGGACAGTCCTCAGCACAATCTCTTCCTACATGAAACAGATGTCTGTAAGGTATGGAAGCTGGTTTTAGCAAGCTTCCCTCTGACGTGTTTAGGCTGTCCTCTGGGGGGCGAATACACATTCTTTGGTGTGTGTGTGTATCCACCTGATGTGACGTAAAGAGAGACTTGATTCTCTCAAAATCCATTTTGAGAACAATATGTCTCGAGCCCTAGTAGCATTAGTAGGGGAAGTGTAGACCGTCAGAAGAGAACATCCTGTTCTTATTTAGCTAGGTCTTCCATTTTATTATTTTTTAAAGAACTAATTTTTAATTTATTATTTTTTCTTTTAATTTGACCAGAGAGGGAAAAGAAGAAATTAAGCTGCCAGGTTCAGGACTTGAACTGCAATCAGCCATGTGGGAGTCCAGTGCCTTAACCACCATGCCACCTGCCAGCCTCTCATCTGCTTTAGAAGTACCCTTAGTTAGGTCCAAGTGGAATATGCGCACATGGTGCTTACACAAGGCCCGGTGGAATGACTGAGAAACGTCCCCTTATACACTTCCTCTTGCTTCACCGTCGGCAGTCCTTTTCTCCTGCCCATTTTCGGTTTAGTTTTAGATCTTAGAATCTTCCAAGAAGACTCCCGCATTGTGACTGTCTCTCTCTTTGTATTACTTGTAACATTTTCCACACCCGACACCATGGCATTCGCGGAGAAAATCAGTTCTAGAAGCAAGGAAATGACCAAAGCACAGGTGCTGGAGTCACACTGGAAGTGAGCCCCCACTCCACTACTGAGTTCTGTGACTGAGCAAGCAACAGCAGTGTTATATTTTTGAGAGATTTTTGCTATAGGGCATGTGTGCTCACAGGAGAGACAGAAAGTGAGAAATCCCCCCCTGGGGAGGATGACCGCACCACAGTCCCTTCTGCATTCTCCTCTTGGGATCTTGGAGATTCCACACACACATGCTCACCCAGCGTGAGTTTTAAGCCTCCGGGTCCAGGAGTCAAAGCGTGGTCAACGGCGTGGGAGTCCAGTGATGTAAGCATTATGCCATCCGCTGGTCCCTGTATTTTTATATTAGTCTTAAATGCCTTTACTATCACAACATCTTCATTCCCTTTCCTGACAGCTTCTAAGGGGAGCTGTTTGTTATTCTCAATCCTTTTTCACCAGTTCTGAGTGTGTGCTAAGGACACGACACCTGGAGGCTGGTGGCTGGTTGCCTTAGGAAGCAACCCTGTCATTAGAAGGGTTGAGACTTTTGGCCCTACCCTGATCTCCAGGGAAGAGGTAGGAGAGGCTGGAGATTGATCCAGCCACCAGTGGGCAAGGGCCTAATCACGCATACCTAATGACAGCTCCATAGAAACCCTGAAGGATGGCGTTCAGAGCCTTCTGGGTTGGTGGGCACAGGGCGATGCTGGGAGGGTGGCGTCTGCCCAGGAAACGGAAGCTCCGTGCTGCCCCCTTCCAGTATCTCGCCCCATGCATCTCCCCCATTTTGCTGTTCCCGAGTTGTAGCCTTTACCATAGATAAGCAATACTGAAATGTTTCCCTGAGTTCTGTGTAAATTATCGACCACAAGGGGCTGTGGGAATCCCTCATTTGTAGGCAAGTTGGACAGAAGCGTGGGTAGCCTGGAGACCCACTACTTTGTAATGGCACCTGCAGTGAGGGCTGTCATGTGGGGCTGAGCCTTTGACCCATGGGGTCTGCATCAACTCCAAGTGGTTAACGCAGGGCATTCTGTTGACATCCGCAGAGAATTAGAGAATTGCTTGGGGGTGGAGACCCCAGGTTTAGTGTGTAAAGAGGAAAGCAATTTTTCTTTTTATACCTATGCACTTCATAAAGAGTAATTCGTTTGGGCCAGCAGATAGCGTAGTGGTTAAGGTGTTAGACTCTCACATGGCCAACTGTGGTTTGAGTCCCCATCCCAACAGCTTGAAAATAACACCAGGCACGTGTATGTGTGTGCCAAACATCCCAGGAGGAGAAAGAAGGGATTGCTGCGTGGCCATTCCCCCAAGGGATAATTTCTCACTTCCCTCTCAGTGTCTCTGGTGAGTGCACATGCGCTGTGACAAAATAATAATTCAGCCCTCCCACAGCCCTGTGAGGCAGGTACACTGCTGCCCCAGTAGAAGTGAGGGCGAGGCCAGGTGTCACAGCTTTCCCGTGGTCTCACAGTGGCGAGAGATGGTGCCGTGACCCCAGCCCTGGTAGTCTGACTCCTGGGGATGGATGAGGACCACCATGTTCTGCTGCGTGTCTTGGTTCTTGAGGTCAGAGGTTCATTTCCTGAGTTTCGGAGCCCAGATGTGGCCGGCTAGTGCTAAGAGGGTGTCAGCTGTCCTGTGCCTCTGACACACACAGGCCACACACAGCGAGTGTGCACTGGCAGAGCCGAGAGCCCGGTGTGTAACAGGACCGCGCGGCCTGGACTCGCCCATTCTCCCCAAGATGCTCTAGGGCAAGACAGAGCCGGCAGCCAGACCTGCGCCCGCTGGATTGCGCACAGTCCAGGCCCACTTCTGTCCCACGAGGGCTGTGAGACCATGGCCCTTCGGTTGATTTTACTTGAACGCTGAGCTCCTAACGTGGCTCTGGCGAGGTGCTCCCAACCTGGAGTTGGCGAGTAAATGCGCACAGTAAGGGGTTAAATGGGGGACGGAGTTCCGTGTCATAAGGGCTACGGGGCTGGAGAGGGCTGTAAATAAAAGGGGATACGAGATGGCAGCAAGTAGAAAAGACCTGTGTGTCACTCCGGAAGTGTGTGAGGAGGGGAGTCCCCCCTTCTAGGCACAGGGCCAGAGGTTGCCACAGATCCTCGGCAGTGGCTGTTTTTCCTGTTAAGGCTGGGCGTGCAGACGTGACCGGCTCCTCCATGGGAGCAGGGTGCTGTGGAAGCCTCTTCACGAGAGGTTGGTGTAACCCAGGGCAGCTGGCGTGGTCCCCAGCAAACAGTCGCCAGTGGGAGACGGTCCTGTGTCCTGTGGCCCCACGGGCACCCACAGCCGCCCCGTCTCCTCCAGTCCCCACCAGGACTGCCTGGATTCAAAATTTTGCTAAATGAGCATGATTTCTCAGTAAGTGAGCAAGCCAAGGATCTTAGAAAAGTATAAAAGTTTAATCTTAACATAGGACATGAACTTGCCAAGGCCCCTCATTTTTAAAAAGTCATTTTCCCCCCAATCTGCGGCAGTGTCCGTTCAGCCGCCACCGACCTGCCTTCCAGACCGTCTTCCTCTGCACACATTCCCTGAGGCTCTGCTGCTTTCCTCACCACAGCCGCTGCCCAGCTTTCCTCTGGGATTCCCGACCTGAAACCAGCCCACCCGGCCTGCACACCGAGTGCCTGCCCCACCAGCAGAACTTCCTTCTTCCCTGCCCCAAAACCCAAGGAACTGGCAGCTGGGGGCCCAGCACCCAAGTCTTGGCACCTGCAGAAAAGGACAGAGACACGAAGGAGAGCCTCCCTCAAGTTGGGACGAGCCCTGGGGACCTGCTGTCCCCGCAGCCTTCTCTAGCCTCTGGTCCATCCTCTGGGCTGTCTGGCGTTAAGGCGGCATGTGGACTTAGCACTGGCTCTGCCTCGGACCGAGGCCTTGCTCCCAGCCCAGGGGTGTGTGGTGGCAGGCCTGCCGCTCACCGACAGCCACGCAGGTGCTCTTCCAGGGCCCAGGCTCTGGCTCCTGCAGGGCAGGCAACTCCAGGGAGTCTTCACCTGCCTTCAGGGCAGGAAGTAGCTAATTCTCTGGGAGATAGACTTGCAGCCCTGGGAGGAGAAGAGCGGCTCGTCCTTGGGGACGTACACCAGCATCTTGGCGATCTCGTCCAGCGCCTCTTCCGTGTACAGGAGCTCCTCGCTCAGGAAGGCGTCGCGCGCGCACAGTCTCACGTGGCGGTACTCCAGGGGCAGGAAGGGGACGAAGAGGTCAATCAGGTTTTCCTGTACAAGACGGCTGTGGCCGAAGCCACTGTCTGAAATCAGAGACACAGTTACATGGAGTCTGACCCGAGGCCGAACCCAGCTGCAGTTTTGTTTTGTTTTAAAGTTATTTATCCATTCATTTTTATTTTAATTTGACCAGAGAGAGACAGAGAAGGAAAGTGAGAAAGCAAGCCACCAGGTCTGGGACTTGAACCGTGGTCGGCCATGTGGGATTGTCTAGCGCCTTAACCACCATGCCACCTGCTGGTCCCCCCAGCTGGAGTTTTAAAGTGTCCCAAACAGAAGGCCTACTCCAGGCTGGGTGTCACGGCCACCTCCGGGCACAGTTTGTGTGACTGCAGAAAGCAGTGGGATGATACCCCTCTGTCTGGAGACAGACCGCTGAGGCTCTCGGAGCGTGACTTCCTCAGAGTCCACAGGGCCCACTGCCAGGCCTCGGGCACTGCCTACTCTCTTGAGCATTTCAGAAAAGGAGCTCAGGCTTCCTGCCATCTCCCTGGGCCCACCTAAAGTTGACAACGTGAGATGGTGAGGCTGCATCCTGGGGGCGCCAGGCACCCTGTCCCTCACGAGCACCCATTCCCACGTGGCCGGGGGTCGTCTCACCTGTGGACTGCACGATCTCAGCCCGGAGGCGCGGCTCCAGCTGCTCCATCGTGATTTCTTCCCGGGACCATCCGGCCTTAAGCAGATTCAGGACCACCTCGTTGATGGCATTGCCCCCGAGGTTACTGAGAGAGACAAGAGCTGGTAACAGATTTCCTCCGTTTTCTACTTGGCCTCCAAATAGGCTGCTGGACCACTGAAGCCACGGCACTAGAGACTGGGGGGATGGAGGTTGCACGGCCTGGGCCTCCTCTTCCCTGGGAGAGCACATCACTCCCCAAGGCTCTGTACAGAACAGACGCCTGCTGTCACCCGTCCTCCCTCTCTGCTTTCCCTTTGACAGACGCTTCCCGAGACGGCAGGAGCACAGAGAAGGGAAGGCGAGATTCTTCCCCTTGGCCTCCGTGTGGTGAGAAGGGCGTGTGTGGGGGACTCAAGGACAGCTGAGGTCGAGGGAGAAGGCCTGAGAGGGAGGATGAGGCCTGGGTGAGTGGTGGGCACTGGACATGGCGGGTAGGTCCTGGCATGGAGGCATCAGCGGGTTTGTGGGGCTCGGGCCACAAGTGACTTGGAGTGGGGTAGAGGCGTGAAAGCAGGATAAGCTGCGGGTAAGGAGGCCTTTGCCAGGCACGTGAATTTCAGCTCGTGCTACGAAGAGCCACTGAAGGATTTGTTTGTTTATTTATTTATTTAGGAGAGGTTTTTGCTATAGGGCACGTGTGCTCACCAGAAAGACAGAGACAGAGAGACAGAAAGTGAGAAATCACCCCCCCAGGAGGGATGGCCACGCTGCAATCCCTTCTCCATTCTCCTCTCAGGATCTTGGGCACGCACGCACACATGTCACCTGGCGTGAGTTTAAGCCAACA